TTTGCAAAAACACTACATTATTGTCATTGAATATTGCCAATAATCAACTTGGAATTGAAGCAGGAAAGGCAATAGCGGAAGCTCTTTGTATAAACAATACATTAAGATTAATGAATCTTCAAAGAAATCAGCTTGATATCGAAGGAGGAAAAGCATTCGCAAATGTTCTTCGCAGAAATACAGCCATAACATCTTTAGATCTTTATAACAATCAGCTTGGTTCTAAAGGAGGGAGTGCATTGGCAGAAGCACTTTGTGTAAATACGACATTGACATTTTTAAATCTTCAAAATAATCAATTAGGACCTGAAGGTGGAAAAGCATTAGCTAAAGTTATTGCAGAAAACACTACTTTAACGTCATTGAATATTGCTAACAATCAATTTGGTTTTGAGAGTGGAAAAGAATTAGCAGAAGCGCTTTGTATGAATAATACATTAATATTCTTGAATTTTCAAAAAAATCAATTCGGTATTGAAGGAGGAAAAGTATTTGCGAAAGCTTTTTATAATAATTCTACATTGATTTCATTAAAGTATTCTAACAATCAATTTGATTCTAATGTAACATCGGCAATAACAGAAGTTCTTAAGAGAAATATCGCATTTGCTTCTTGATTATTATTTTCCGTTTTTTTTTGTTTTTTGATATTATAAGATTCTTAACTTGTGTTCAAGAATATATTTATTCTGTATAAAAAACTATTATGCAACAATTTTTTTGTATAAACTGTAACTACGATATTACATATTATACGGCATACTTTTAAGTATTTATTGTTGCAAATCCTTTTATATTTTAATTTTATTTCTAACTCTAAATTTCAATAGCTAACAGGTAAAGAAAGTGTCATGTATATTTTATATTGATATATGGGGGTTAAACTGTCATAAAAATTAATAACAATAAAATGTATAAGATTTATATGAACTTTTAACGCCAGATTCTTTTCCACCTACAAGGTAATTTATTTTCAAGTTTTGCGATTAGAACTTATTTTGTAAAAATTGCAACAATATTAAAAATAAATATTTTCTAATTATATGTAAAGTTTTATGACATATTTACTTAGAAGGCAAATTTAGAAGGCAAAGATAGATTTATCTTGGCAAAAAAAAGTTTTCTATTTTTCTATTTAAATTTTATTTGTCTTAATTGCAGTAAATGTTAGCTACGTATACGTCGTTATGTGTGACACTAGAATTCGGAACCGGTTTTACATATTTTTCATGTTTAACAGATGAAAAGCAAAATAGTCCAAACAATATGACACTTTTGACGTGCTATACATCAATTTAAACGAGTCCTATGTAAAGTAATATAGTCGGGTTAATAAATTAGTACCGTACGATAATAAGCTCATGTGTATGATAGTTGATCAGACACTTCAGGTAACATCGAGTCCTAGATAAAGTAGTATAGCCAAGTTAATAAATTTAATGCTCATGATAATAAGCATTTATTATACTCGCGCGTATAATAACCAGTGTTGGCAATGAGGCAAATTTGGACACATAAAATCTTATTTAGACAAATTTGGGCATATAAAATTTTATAAGTCCATATTGTCCATGTCCAAACGAAATTTTTATTGGCATAGTCCAAATGCCAACACTGATAATAATTATTCATATAAGCCTATACTCTAATCATAATACTAACACGCTAATATAAGGTATAGTCCTAACTCTAACCTTAACTATCTGCAGATAGTATAACCTACTAATATATTAGTATACGTACAGCACATATATGTCATGTGCTTGTTTTTTTTTTAAATCCTACATAACTTCTTTTGTATTTCTGACTATGTACGTACGTACGTACGTATAATGGAAATTTGGCGAATGAACACGTGCCGCAAAGCGGCACGTGCAGCCAATCATTTGCCAAATTACTGTATTCGCAAATTTGCCCAATAACGATAATAATAATGGTGTTATCGGTAGGCTGAGTCTTAATTTGAATAAACACAATTACATCGTATAACATGACAAAATAACATGCAGAAATTATTTATGATCATAAGAGTTTACCGGATAAGCTACTACGTATATGCAACACTGCTGCAGGTATTGACATTATTATTATACGTATATATGTCTTTTTTAAATCTTACATAGCTTCTTTAGTATTTCCGACTACCCTACTATATATGCAACACCGATAACATTTGAATTATTCATTTAAACTTATACTCTAATCATAATCCTAAACGTTAATATGCAGTCCTAACCCTAACCTTAACTATCTGCAGTAGATACATTATTATACGTATATATAAGTTATACGCCTGTCTTTTTTAAATTCTATATTACTTCCTTTGTATTTCCATACGCAACATAACAATAACGATAAGGATTAACGTTAAGTCGGAATTTTTACTCCATAATCTTAAAAGTCAGCAACAACGCAAAAATTTGTTTTATGGATAACGTTTCACAATTACTAACGTGCTCATTATCAACATTTCGGGATCATTGTTTCGACCAATTTGGTAAATCATTCGTACGCCTCGCTTTGAATCTTACTAATTTCATCTGATTTTATCTTTACTGACCAATTGATGCATTTATGAAAATAACGTTAAAAAGCTCTGCAGTTACACCATAATAAATTTATTATTTATACCGATACATACCTTTTCATTTATTGAACTAACTTATGCAATTTTTGTTAGTAATTATTTAATATCCCATAGTTGCGGGGTAATAACGTATTCATATTCTTAACTGAATCGAATTTTATTATGATAACCATATTAAATCAAATACAAAATCCTATGCCCCATTATTTGATTGGGGCATTACCAGTCATAATAACACTTGGATCGACTCCACGAAATGGTTTTTGGCCGAAATTACAAAGGTTATTTCTATGCCTTGGTTGTCCTTTTATAGGATTACTTTACTTTTGTAATGTGGCTAATGATAAAAAAGAAATGTGTGTTTACTGGCTTCCTCCAGAATATTTTTATGAAATTGATGATGAAAACCAAAGTGAAGAAAATCAAATGTATAAAGCAATTGAAAATCGTCCCATGGGATTTCACGCTAAACAATTACTTCCTAACTCAACACAGGAAGCTCTTCTAGAACTTTGTGTTGTAGATGCGTCTTTAATGGATAGATTTTCTTCATTGATCTCGGGATTCTACATAATATTTGGTATTGTTGGAGGGATCACGATACTATTTGAAGAACCATGCACATATGATCAGTCATATCAGGATTGGCCATTTATATCAATGTTATTCATTTGGACATTACCTGTAATTTATTTTAGAGCACTTTATGGAAATGTGGTATTCAAATTACCAAGTGAAATGAATGTAGAAATGCCAGTACATTTAAATCCATCACCCATAAACATTTCAAATGACATAAATGAAAGATCAAATGATACAAAAATTATTCAAATTAATGAAAGTCCAGAAAGTTCAAAGATTTTAGTGAACGAAAAACCAGCAAAGTCTGAAGTTCTAATAAAGCTTATAAGTAAAACTAATCGAATCCAAGTAAAACCTTTAGATAATTTTGAACTTTGTAAAAAAAAAGTTTATGTTATAATTACTCTCTTAGTTTCAACATTTCATTGGATATCAGTAATCATAGCCTATAGAACTCCTCCAGTTGCATTCCTCTGTAGATGTAGATTTTTGACAATAATTTGCTCCATATGGACAATCAATAGTTTTATTGCTGCGATATTTCATATAAAAAGTATTAAGTTTAAAAAGTTTAATATTAAAACTTGGTTTCGTTTTTGTGGCGTTGTAATAGCTGCACTTTTAATAACATTCGGTTTGTTAGCATCTAATAAGACTTGGTGGTATTCATTTAGTTCTTTATGTCATGGGACATGTGTCTAAAGGTAATAGCCATCATTATTTATACTGTATACTACTAGTTTTTTTTAATATTTAAGTGTTAATACGTGTATTTAAGTGTTAATATTTTCTATGTTTATTTTTTATTTCTTCCTATTATCATCGTGTGATATTTATTGTTGCCAAACAAAAATTTGTCGCGAACAAAGTCAAAACTTAATTTTAACTTTTAACAAAGAAACCTTCAAAATACAAACCTAATAAAATTATAAACCTAATGCGATTTAACGTTGTCTCAGATTTAAAATTCCGTGCGCCTGTGCTATGATTCCTTTATAGAGTTTTAATTTAAATTCATATATAAATCTATGAAAATAATATATGGAGATGATGTTATCCAGGGCAAGCCAGTCAGCCAAAACTAATAATAAAATTAGTAAAAAATAAATTAGTAAAAAAAAAATCGGCATCGTTAAATCGGTTAACACTACAGTTGCTATTTCTCAAAAACTGTCTAAATAACTAAGGCCGTATCTATTAAGAAAAAATATTCAGCAACCCAAAAAACCTTATCTCAACTTGATTTTTAGCTTTAATTTTTAGCCTATAGCATCTAACTTTAACCCTACCCTTAATTATTGACAACAAAGTTATAATAAAGAATTATATGGTATTCTACACAACTGGTGCGATTTATAATAATTGAAAAAAATATTTATTAAATTTGTTATAAACAATAAATAATATTTTTAAAGTAATTATTTAGTTAAGATATACAAAAATTATAAAGTTATTAATCCACGATCACTGTTTCAAGGTCACATTATTATTACTAATCTTTTCTGGTTAGTGTTCAAAATGAAAATATTATTAATTCGACTTATAATAGTGAAGGTTATAAGCTAGAACAAAAAAAATAATAATAATAAAATTGAATTGCATTGAAGAGATAGTGGGAAAAGTATCTCCACTGCCCCATTAGGTCTCGTTCTTCATTGGGACTTACCTTTAAGTAAATACTATTACTATATAGTATCATCATTATTATTTATTACATTTTTAAAGAATTAATTTCATTAACTACATTTGGATTTAAAAACTTTTATTATTTATCCTTTTAATGTTGCTGTTCATTAAATCACTTCACCGTAAATTTGTTCACCAACAATTAATTTAAAATAATTTACAGACAAATTTTTTTTTATGCATTGCACTAACCTTAACTCTAATTCTATACTTGACCCTATAAATCTGTGAACTGTGAATTAATCATCGGTAAACTAAGTTGTCGATGAAACTATACGGGTCTTCATTTTAAATGACTGGAAAACAAAATGGATTATGGATTTTCTGGCAAAATACTTCTCAAATTGAAATCGGTTATATTAAAATCACTTATTACTGTATTATTTTAATTGGTTCTTTTATCCACATTCAGAATAGATATTTACTCATATGTTTATCTAATAGATTACTTTTGCAGCTTTCCTATTAATGTGAGTACAGATAAAAAGTATTAGTATTGGCTAAATACTTGCTTGAAAACAATGTAACACTAAATCATCTATATTGTACGTAATAAGTATCGTAAGCAAATATACGTAATTGGATAGTGTAAAGAACTTTAGATTTGGAGAAATTAAATTCCTGTATCACGTAATGTACATAATTTACATATAAAACGTACGTGCACACATTCGTACGAACGTACACACATTTTTTTTCAACAAAGATAATTAGTGATTAGTTATAAAAAAATTATGGCAAACACACCAGAAGAATGGCTTGAAAAAGCTATTTTCGAGGGACATATCAATAATCTTGAATATAATAAATTTACAAATCCCACAATAATTGGCATTGGAGGTTTTGGAAAGG